ACAACATAATATACCGAGCTGAAAGAACGACACAACAATATATCACACAAAAGATGGACAATAGAGAGCGCATAACATGTTACAGGAAAGGAAAGACAGCATATCTAAGTACATGACTGTTAAACGATAGTCTTAAAAAATGCAATCGTGCAGTTTATACGGGGTCTGGATAGAGTAATATATCGTTGTCTCGGTCTTTCAGCTCGGTATATTCTGTTCTGTAGCTCCGTACATGAGATCTGCTTCTTACTCTTGGGTGTTTGGATAGCCGAGGATTCATTCGTTCAATGGATTGTTGTATGAAGAGTTGAATAGTTTGAGCTTGAGCCATTCATCAGTCACTGGTTTTTATCATTAATAATTGATCTTTAACCTTTGGCTCGGTAACAGACCGTGCATAACTTAAAAATTGAATATCTCTGTTCAGATACGCCATCAGCACGTCATATATTAAATTTGTTAGTTTGGCAATGAGACCTTTAATGTGACTCGAATATAGTTAAGCAAATCAACTGACAGTACAAACAGTTCCATTGTTAGTATGGTCACACGAACGTCTAAAAAAGTTGTTCCCATTTCCAATCCTATGAGAGCAGGACTAGGAGAGTTGGGATTGGCTGAAAGTTTTCTAATCGGACCAACCAGCTCAATTTTAGAGTTGAAACGGCAAAGAGTCGGTCGATTTAATGTCAGTTACAAAGTGTTGTATTTTGTGAAAAAATTTCTCACGCCAGCATTTGGTGCAGATGTAGTTTGAAATTTATATAGCTCTTTATGTTTCTAGGAAAATAAACCTATGTTAATCTATCTCATCTGATATATATTGGTACCTAGCGACGAGAAAAGAACTTCTTCAAGACTTTTAGATTTATGCAACTGCAGGAGGTTCAAAATCTTAGTTTCTTAGGCAATTTTCTAGCTGACCATCAGCAAGTGTTGTAGAAGTTCGTGGCTAAAATTCGTAAAATACTTATTTAGAGTAATGCAAAGGCTTAACATTTTTTGCAAGGCAATCACTACTGCTAGAAGAGAGAAGAGGAGCTGAAAATTTCGACTTTAAAGTTACAATTCCTGTCTTCAAGATTTTCTGGACCTAGTTATTTAAACATTCGTGTGAGGCGAGCATTGAGTATACAGTTCAACAAAATGCAAAAGGTGCTTTTCTGTTGTTCTGTTTTAATAAAACATGAAGTAAAGATCATCAGTCGTCCCAAGTATCAGGCAGTCAGATAAAGCGTGGTTCATTCGATAAAAAAAGTTGACGGCTTGAAAAGTCTGAGTGGATCGATAACCAGTCGGTCTGGTTCTGGTTTGTTGGTTTAGTTTCAACTCTGGATTAGGTTCGAAACTGATTCCACACACCTTTAGGGTAGAGAAAAAAAATCATCTTTTCTCTGTGCAAAAAGACGACAAGAAAAGAAGACAGTGATTATTCGTAACAAAGGATATTGATGACATAAATATAGAGCCCAGCGGTTCCAAAGAAAACGGAACCGAGAACCGAATTTTTAAGACTCTGCTACCCGGAACCGAACCGAAACCGTGAAAAAAAAAGAGGTTGGAACCGGAACCGTTGAAACCGTAATTTTTTACTGATAACTAGAGTCATCTATGTTTTGTAATTTTTCTAACTTCTATTACTCTAGTAAATTTTTCGTCCAACTATCACTTTAAATTCTCGCCTATACCATAAACAGATAAACAAAGAATAATCTTCTATGATAAACATGAATAAGAATAATTGTTTTTTTTAACATTTGATCTTTTCACATTTTAATACACCAATATTGAAGAAAAAAACGTAGTATTGTAAACATGCTCGATGGTTTATTAAAAAAAGAAGATATTCCGGAACTAATTAAAAATGATGATATAAGTGTAATATTTGTTAAACCAACAACAGCATCATCAATAGTTTGGCAAAAATTTAGTCATATTTATGTTGATAGTAAAAAGCAAAATTTTGTGTCTTATGATACATGTAAAGATATTCTACATCACAAATCAATTGATGGTACAAGCAGTATGAAGAAGCACCTTCGATCATGTGAATCGAATTCAAAAAATAATAATAATAAAAGTTTAAGTATTAATGAATATTTTGCTTTCCGTAAAACTAGATCTATTCCACCAAGATCTAAAAACAACGTTTTGAATGCAACTGTTGAACTAGTTGCTATGGATAATCGTGCATATGAACTTATTGCAGGTGATGGTTTTATCAATTTTACACAAACTATATTTGATGCTGGACAACTGTTAAATTCACAGAATATTGATGTTTCCAGTTTATTACCACATCCAACAACTGTAAGCAAATACTCTTCTAAATTATAAAAAGAGTACAGACATTCCTCTTTTCAAACAAAAGCTACCTCATTTATACTTATTTTTTTCTAGGTAAGTCGAAATTTAGACCGGTTATTCATTAGCAGAAAATCTCAGTGCAAAGCTCTTTGTCAGAATATTAAATCCTATACTATTGTGGTGGACTTTTGGACGGAATCACATTCTGGTAAGAATATGATTTTGACTGCAAATTAACTGTTATATAAAGACTAACACACACAAAATGAAAGAAGTATAATTAATCCTACATACTTTTTAGGTGTGAGTTTTTGTGGTATTTCTCTTCATTTCTTGAATGAAGAACTTCAACTGTACGTTTTTATTTTGGGTTGTTATCCATATGATCGAGATAATCAAAATGCAAATCAAATACGACAATTTGTTGATGCTAAATTATTGGAATATGATTTAATATTGGACAACAATAAATTCGTGGTGACAGACAATGAAAATAAAATGAAATCTTGTTTTAAAGAATCATGCACCAGAATCGGTTGTTCAATTCATTATATGAACAAGCAATTAGAGCACTGCTTTACTTCGGATACTGTAGAAAAAATTCCAGTTAATTGTGATTTAGTTCAGAAATGTTCGATTATATACGAAAAATCGTATCTCATATAAGAATACACAAACAATCAAAATTACCACGTAAACTTCAATCTTACTCTGATACTAGATTTAACGGTGCTTTTCGTACAATGAATGTGTTTTTAACAGTTTTTGATGATTTAGCTGGTATTTTAGATAGAACGTTTCTGGACGATTATACGCTAATAGATAAAGATTTACTTGAATATATTTGTTCATTTTTAGCTCCATTTGAAGAAGTAATTGAAGGACTTAGTTGTGATAAAAAACCAACAATTTATAAGGTGTTGCCATTAAGGCAGTATTTTATAAATCAATGTAAAATACATCCAGATGATCATGATGGAATTCGTCAAATTTAAACTTTTATAAGTAATATGATAACAAAAAAAAATAAAGAATTACTTTTAGTTGCTCAAGAAAAGAAAATATTATTAAAAATTTGCAAAACTATTTCTTCATACAGTAGAATAAATGACAAATATTCGTTACTCGTTGAGAAACTAAAATCTTTTTTAGGATATATTACAATAGTAAAGAATTTCGCACTACTTATAATTAGAAATAGTTCAATATCTAAAGCTTCTTTTTCTGTTTAGGTACTCGTTGTCAAGATGTTTGGGTGCTCCAAGATATACATTACATTACCACCCTATTGCATCTGTCTTTTAAAAATTTTGATGTTAATCCTAATCTTCAAGATAAAGCTATTAATTTAGTGAAAAATGAAATTATTAAACGACAACCATCAACACCAACGACCTGTTGTACAACGACTACAACAACAGTTACTACAGTTGAACTTGACACTCAGTCAGCATCATCAACAAGTGTTTTATCAAAATGTTTCAACTTGCTAAAGAATGATTTAAAACTATCATTAAATCCATATCAAGAATTAGATGAATACATGAATTTGAACGTTCAAATAAATGAAGCTGATGATATTTTGTTGTTCTGGTTAACACAGAAATCAAAATTTCCAACATTATTTTCGCTTGTACAAGATTATTATGCAGCACCAGCATCAAACACAACGATTGAAAGACTTTTTTCGTCATCAAAATACACGGTTTCAGATAAACGTACCAGTCTTGGTGCAGAAAAAATAAACAAATTATTATTTTTGAAAAAAAATCTAATGTTATTAAAAGCATTTGATAAAAAAAGTGTTATTGAAGCTACTGCAACTGATACGAAAAGAAAAATAACTGATCCTGATAAAAAATCTACTGATATGTCATTACAAAATCAAAAACAATTTAGAACTTCAACAACAGCAAAGAAATTGAAAAAAGATGAAGAAGATGATATAGTTATTTGGGATGACGATGTGCAAGATAAAGAAAACGACTAATTTTTGTATTAATTAATTAACTGATGAATATATTTTGTGAACGTATTGTATTATAATGATTTTCATAGTTTCATTTTTGCTTTATTTTTTGAAAAAATTGATTTTTCAAGGAAATAAATTACATAAACATTTTTGAAAAATGAAAGATGTAATTCTATTTAAAAAAAATAATTTTTTTCATATATTATTATTAAACAGCGGTTCCAAACAATTTTTAGGAACCGAAAATGGAACCGTTTTTTTTCGTTCTTAGGAACCAGAACCGCTGGGCTCTACATAAATACGACGAGTCGCATTTACTATCCTTGAGTGGCTGTCGTGAACCTATGAAGAATCGAACGACTCAACTATAGATTATGACGAAGAGAAATATGTTATTATGCAGAAACTTCAGAACACCAACAATACAATCAAGGATTTGTCATCATTTGAAGTGGATGGGATTGTGACTGATCATGCGTACGACTCTTGTCCTACTTCGGCAAGAACGATATTGAAAAGTCTCAATTCCTCACATCTGCACTTGCCATGTTTAAAAAAAAAACTTCTGTATAAACCTAACTCGACAATTGAAAAAAGAGTTAGTGATACAATTGATTTGTTCTTTCTTGTGCTCTTTTACTCGATAATCTAAGAGAATGCAAGAGTTGAATCGAGCGTGGAACTGGAAGTTTTCCTCATATTATTTAAATCAAGAAATCAGTAATAGATCAGTCTCCTGTTTCTTGATAACAGTTACTATTTCAATTATCATTATATGAATACAATAGAATAACTACACAATAAGGGTAATCGAACAGTTACATTTGATACCTGAAACTTTTTTTTTCTAGAGAACTTAGGATAAAAGCAGAGTTAGACGACCATCACCTCTTGAAAATTTTGTGCACTCAGATTCAATAAAAGATCCAGATCTCCTAATTCTCTGAGGGAGGAATAGTTTATAAAATATTCATCATTTATTTTTATTCGATATCGTTGTTTTCTATTGCTCACTTTCTTTACACACTAACGTCTTTTTTCCATTTTTTTCTAGTAGGTACATACGTATTTTTCTTTTATATATGGATCTACAGGATAATGAATGTTTATGAAGCAACATTTTTTAACACCTAAATAAAGCAGAAACTGATCATTTTCATCGTTTATAAACTCAACTTGATTCAGCATATAACAATTTTCTTTCTCATTAGCGTTTTACAAGCAGAAAAATGCTTTAATACTTTCACACTTCAGGTAATTCCAGAAGTCTTTTAGTCCCATGGAATCTTTCAGAGTCAAGTGCACTCAAGTGGAGTCACTTAGCTCTGTGGATTTCAGAGTTCACTATTTTCCTCTTAGACCCTTTTTACACTCATGACGAAAGATGAGAGAGTGGGGAGAGTCCAAAACAAACAAAAAAGTTACGACATTATTTCCGAACGACACAGAAAGAGCCTAGTCAAATATGTTGCTAACTTGAAAAAGATTTTTCGGAGTCAGCTATACAATCGAAGATCACACGAGAAATGAATAATACAAACAACGATTATATTCAAATCTTCTGCTTAATTCAAAACAAAGATTTGGAGTTCATTTCATTATCAACGGTCACCTAACAAATGCATAATTCAAATGAACATTATATTCAAATATTTTGCTCAATTCGAAGCAAAGATTTAGAGTTGATTTCATTATCGACCGCCACCTACCAAATGAATAATTCAAACTAACATTCTATTCAAACATTTTGCTCAATTCAAAACAAAGATTTGGAGTTGATTTTATTATCGACGATCAAGTAACAAATGAATAAGTCAAAGGAACGCTCATTCAAACATTTTGCTCAATTCGAAAGAAACATTTCCAGCTGATTTCATTATCGACAAATACATGACAAAATGAATACTTTATATTAACATTCTATGCAAACGTTTTGCTTGACTCCAAGCAAAGATTTGGGGTTAATTACATGATCAAAGATTACGCGACAAAGGAATAATTTAAACTAACATTCTATTTAAATATTTTGATAACTTTGAAGCAAAGATTTGGAATTGATTATACAATCGACAAGCACGTTACAAACGTAGATTTCAAACAAAGATTCCATTTATATACTGTACTAGTTTCGAAGAAACAGGCTGATGTTCCCAAGATGATTGAAGATCACACGGTGTCTGAACAATTCTAACGAAGAAAATACTCAAATATTTTCCACATGTCAATGTGAAAATTCGAAGTTTGTCATACGATCCACTGATAGATCACAATTGAATATTTCATACCAACACTATATTCAAATAATTGCTTCACTACAGAAAACACGTGTCCACTTCATCAAATGATCAATGAATGTATTTCAAATGAATAATTCATACCAACATTCTAGCCAAATAATATCGTCACTGTCGAGATAATATATCCGGCACATGATATGACTGACCAATACATAACAAATGAATACTTCATAGCAAGACTTTATTCAAATTATATGCGCACATCAGCCGAAAAAATTCAGGTTTGGGATATCATCGATAAATATATGGCAAATAACTAAGTAACAGGAAAGTTCTATTCAAATAGTTTCCTCAGTGTAGAAAATATAAGACCAGTTCATCATATCATTGACCAACAACCGACACACTGAATACATCCTAACAAAATTCTATTCGCATTTTGCCCTCATTTTACAGAACACGTATCCAGTTCGTAGTATCATCGATGAATACACGATAAATATATACCTGGAACAAAACTTCTATGCAAAAATTTTGCTTCATTCAAATTCAACACTTGGAGTTGATTTTGTTATCTACAAACCGACAACAGATGAATAATTCAAACCAACATTCTATTCAAATACTTTGCCCAATTTGAATCAATGATTTGAAGTAAATTTTGTTATCTACCGGCAGACAACAGATGAATAATCCAAACGAACATTCTTTTCAAATACTTTATCCAATTTCAATCAAAGATTTGCACATAATTTTCTTATCTACGAGCAGACAACAGATGAATCATTCAAACGAACATTCTATTCAAATACTTTGTCCAATTTGAATCAAAGATTTCAGGTTGATTTTGTTATCTACCAACAGATCATAAATGGATAATTCAAACCAGCATTCTATTCAAATATTCCGCTCGATTCGAACCAAAGATTTCAAGTTGATTTTGTTATCTACGAACAGACAACAAATGAATAATTCAAACCAGCATTCTATTGAAATACTTTGTTCAATTCAAACCAAAAATTTGAAGTTGATTGTCTTATCTACGAACAGATAATAAATGAGTATTTCAAACCAACATACTATTCAAATATTCTGCCCGATTCGAACCAAACATCAAAAGTTACTTTTGTTATCCACGAACACACACTAAATGAATAATTCAAACTAACATTCTCTTCAAATACTAAGTTCAATCCGAACCAACACTTTCAAGTTAATTTTATCATCAACGAACCGACAACACATGAACAATTCAAATGAACACTCCATTCAAATTTTCTACTCGATTCGAACAAAACATTCGAAGCTGATTTTGTTATCTACGAACAGACAATAAATGAATAATTCAAACCAGCATTCTTTTCAAATACTTTGTTGAATTCAAACCAAAGATTTGAAATTCATTTTGTTATCCACAAACAGACAATAAATGAGTAATTCAAACCAACATTCTTTTCAAACATTCTGTTCGATTCGAACCAAATATTTGAAGTTGATTTTGTTATCTACCAACACACAATAAATGAATAATTCAAATCAACATTCTATTCAAATACTTTCTTCAATTCAGACCAAAGCTTTCCAGTTCATTTTGTTATCAACGAACAGGCAACAGATGAATAACTCAAAGGAACATTCTATTCAAATACTTTGTCCGATTTCAATCGACGATTTGAGGTTGATTGTGTTATCTACGAACAGATGATACCTGAATAATTCACACCAGCATTCTATTCAAATATTCTGCTCGATTTGAACCAAAGATCTCAACTTGACTTTTTTATTTAAGGACAAACAATAAATGTGTAATTCAAACCAGCATTCTATACAAATATTCTGCTCGATTCGAAACAAAGATTTGAAGCTGATTTTGTCATCTACGAACAGACAATAAATGAATAATTCAAAACAACATCCTATTAAAATACTTCATTCGATTCAAACCAAAGATTTGAAGTTGATTTTGTTATCTACGAAAAGACAATAAATGAATAATTGAAACCAACCATCCATTCAAAAGTTCTGCTCGATTCGAACCAAAGATTTGCAGTTGATTTTCTTATCTAGGAACAGACAATAAATGAACAATTCAAACCAGCATTCTATTCAAATACTTTGTTTGAATTCGAACCATAAATTTGAAGTTAATTTTGTTATCTACGAACACACAACAGATCAATAATTCAAATGAACACTCTATGCAAATATTCTCCTCAACTCGAACCCAAGATTTGAAGCCAATTTTCTTATCTACGAAGAGATGATAAATGAATAATTCAAACCAGCATTCTATTCAAAAATTCTGCTCGATTCGAACCAAAGATTTGAAGTTGATTTTCTTATCTACGAACAGGGAATAAATGAGTAATTGAAACCAACATTCTATTCAAATATTCTGCTTGATGCGAACCAAAGATTTCAAGTTGATTTTGTTATCTGCGAACAGACAATAAATCATTAATTTAAATCAATGTTGTATTCAAATACTTTGTTCAATTTGAAACAAAAAATTGCAATTAATGTTGTTATCTACGAACAGTCAACAGATGAATAATTCAAAGGAACATTCTATGGAAATACTGTATCCACTTTGAATCGAAGATTTCACGTTGATATTGTTATCTAGGAACAGATGATAAATGAATAATTGAAACCAGCATTCTATTCAAATACTTTGTTTAATTTGAGTCAAGGATTCGAGGTTGATTTTGTTATCTACGAACAGATGATAAATGAATAATTCCAACCAGCATTCTATTCACATATTCAGCTCGATTCGAA